CACGTTTGATGTACGCAAAAAAAAATCCCCTCTAATCAGCCGAATCTGTAAAACAATTATTTCTAGCCAGTCACGTTACTAGCCGATCCAAGATACGTCCGAGCAGCTAAGGGAGGCGTTGGAGCGTACAAAATGGGTTGCAATTATGCTCCAACATTAAAGTTGGGCGAAATAGCAAAACAGAAGGGCTGCCATCAAGTGTTGTGGCTCTCTGGACCAGAACATTACGTAAGTTTCCCTTCCAAAAACGAAGGTTCGTCTGTTATCGCGAAGAATTTACTTCATCTTACCTTATCAATTAGTACTACGAAACCTGTAGGGACCAGTTCTCGTCAATGATTAAGTCGATGAACTCAAATAAGAAGTTACACCTTTTCCGAAGTCTTAGTCACAAGTTTCATGAATGAGCTAACCCTTCCACTCGTTAAGGAGTTAAATTGCAATTATCTCAACATGCTACGCTTTAGGTTACCGAAGTGGGAGCTATGAACTTCATGGTGTTCTGGAAAAATGAAAAGGGGGAGGATGAACTGATTACTGCCTCACTTGAGTCAGGTAAGTGGTAGTTCATCAAATGATAACTCTGGAAAGTGTGGTGTGTTGTTCCTTTGCGCCTTTGATTAGCTAAAATGATAATGCGCAGGCGATATGTGAAAAGTCTTGGAAAATGTTATACAACTCATTTGCGACCTACAGGGAAATGCATCTTGAAAAAAAGACTTATCCGAACTTCATTGACAATGAGTTGCCTGATAATGTCAACTCAATGTTGCGTTTTCCACATTTATAATTGATTATCTATATTTTTTGGAAATATATGGCTGGTATGGTGTTAGAGCCCCTCTGTCTGACTGCAATTGAGACTCAGCAAGGGAGTCTCCTCAAGATGACTTCCTATAGTAGCGAAGAATGTGAGGGAGAAGTTGTTTGAGAAATTGCTAAAGAATCACTGTTTTCGTTCATTTGAACGACTCTTTCAATCCTACCTGGTTCGTGATTAATAGCTCAGTGCGCAGGCTGTATCTAGGAGCGATTTCTTGATATGCTGATAGGTGAAGGGATATCCGTTCGGGATGTAACCTCTTATTATGAATGTCAACTGCGATAGCTGTTCAAACCTGCGTGCCAAACACCTCCTCCCTCTTCCTGTATTGTATACGTCCGGATTCAGCAACCCTGCAGTTAATCTCCGTCAGAATCAGTGATATTCTGCTTTCTCAATATTCTTGTACTATGCAAACTTACATTTAGAACGTTTACGTTTCTTTAGCTGGATTATTTAATTAAAAATGGAAATCATGTGCTTTACTGCCATCACTTTGGAATTTATGAATCGTTTGGAGATCTTGTTTTTGAATAAGAAGCAAGATTAAAGTGCAAGTGAGCAGTGAAATCAAGATACCATGCACTCGGATTTCGTATAAAATTAGTGCTTTTGCATGCACCGTGTCGGCCTAAGAATAGGATCATCCCCTAACCTTGTTAAGAAAACGCTGCAAAAAATAGCAGGAAGTAGCACTTTTTTATAAAAG